AAAGGAGGATCCTTAGCCGATTCCCCTTGCTCAACGAGATCAATCGGCTTTTCCTTTGTTTGGAGAGGTTTTAGCTGCCCCCAGTGTCTTCTAGAACTGTGATAACTTTGCTATCCTCTGGAATATCTTCTATTTGCAATTCATCAACAACAACATTGCCTTCACTTGAGGGCTCCACATCTCTCTCTTGGGCATTCAAGCTTTGAGCTTTGAGTGAATCGGCTAATGCAAGCCGATTCGAAACCTGTTTGCCATCAAGACCAATTGAATCCAAATGGTCTATGTGTTGAGCTTCAGAAAATCTCAATCGTCCTTTATCAATGGCCGATTAGATGACTCGATGAAACACATTGCAGTCAGAAGTATTATGATCAGATGAATTATGTCATTTGCAATATGTAAGCTCTTCTAAGTTTTGAATAGATTGCAAAGCATTATGATCAATGATTCTAATAAAATTATTCTTAAGTAGGATATCAAAGATATGATCACAAAAAGTAAAGTCAAAGGTGTACTTTGATTTCTTAAGCCAATTCTTTTGTGGAGTCGGCTTTAAAGCTAGGCAAACGAATGGATCGGATTTATTATCAATCCATTCGGCCACACCATTGTAATTGCTTATAGGAAGCTTTAGCTTTAATGAACTACACTATCGGCTTTGCCATATGGAATAATGTCTTGGCCGATAGAATCTGAATTTATTTTATTATTAACAAATAAATTGCTATTCTCAATCAGTCTATTACAATAATTAGCAAGGATATCTCTAATAGATGCAGAAATTGAAATAGTATGACCAGATTGGAATTTGAGCAAAATATTTGTGTTTTCTACCTTGTTGATCATGTTGGAAAAGTGAACGTCCTTGATTTGCATGATGTTGCTCTTCATCTCTAGAGAATGATCAACAATATGTGTTGAATCATCCGAAGATGCATCGGTAGCTGCCGAGACCGAGAAAGTCGACTTAGCCGACTAGAAGTCGGCTAGGCCGACTTGGGCACTAGCAGGGGCAGTCGGCTTGGCCGACTGGGAAGTCGGCCTAGCCGACTCAGGGAAGACGGTAGAGGCAGTCGGCCTAGCTGACTTAGGGCAGGCAGCAATCGGCTCAGCTGACTTTGAAGTCAGCTCAGCCGATTCTGAGTAGGCAAGCAGCCCTCCTTTGTTGCTTGTAGGGGCTTGATCTCCATCAATGATGCGGTAATTACTAGATAAGTGTACAACCCCTTTAGCTCCTAAAAAATCAAGTCCAGCTGGTTTTTGGCGCTTTCCATGCTTTTCTATAGCAAGACTTCTTTTTTGAGATGTGATTGATTCGGAAAGAATATCGTATTGTTCGACTTTTGTAGCCGAACCTTTGCTTATATCTGTATCAATTATTTCTTTCATGTCCACTAGCAATCCTCTTTGAACCGATGACTCAACTGTGATCGGGCTTTTCTCATTAGTCTTTCCAAAACATTCATAGAATTGCTCCTCTAATTGAAACCATGAACCAATAGTACATCGCGGCAAAGATGTAAACCATACAAAGGCAATACCGGTGAGAGATAAAGGAAAATTTCGCACTCTCATATAGTCTTCTTTACCGGTAAAACCCAACTGTGAGAGATATATACTAATATGTTCTATAGTGGTTTTATCATCTTCACCACTAAATTCATAAAAATCAGGTACCCACCAACCATTAGGAGTTTTTAGTAATCATAGTATAATGGGTACGGTCTATGATAAGCGGACACCTTCCATTTAGAGGAGCCATATGGATTTCTACTATGGGCTAAATCTTCATCGATTCGGCTTGGTTTGAGAGCAACATATGAAGCCGAATCATGACTATTTGCATGTGCACATATTGCTGAATTTTCATTGATTCGGCTACAATTATTAGCAATATGTGGAGTCGAATCATGAGTTTTAGCACTCGAATGCCTTGCTGAAATTTCACTATTTCGGCTATGGTCATGAGCGAAATACAAAGCCAAATTGTGAGCATTGATCTTTGCATAAGGTGCTGAATTTTCATTGATTGAGCTATGGTTACTAGTAACACGTGAAGCCGAATCATAAGTATTAGCACTTAAATACCTTGCTGAATTTTCATTAATTCAGCTCGAGTTGGGAGTAACATATGAAGCCGAATTATGAAAAAGGGCATTGGCATATGGTGCTGAATTTTTAGAGCAATTGGCTAAATAATTAGCATTGTTATAGCCAATTCTCTCATTCATCGGCATGTCTTGTGGTAGAATGACATATTGTGAACTTATAGCCGATGAATAACAATTTATGTGTTGTATGTTGCTAGTAGCATCAAAACTCGAGAATTTACAACATGCATCGGCTCTTGACCATAATATTCATAATTATGATGTGTGTGATGAGGGGCATTAACAAAAGTATTAGCCGATGTAACATATCTAGTATCATTACAGCTAGCAACACCAACATGAGAGCTCATAGAACTTGCAAAATAACTATTATGATCATAAGATGTATTTACAAGTTGTACCTCAGGGTGATTGTAGTAATATTGTGATGCAACATCTTGGTACTTCATGATTTATAACTTGACCGCCTTGCTGAATTTTTCGATAAGCAACGCAAGTTGTTGCAAAATCGCAAACAAGATCACAAGGGGTCAAAACTAGATGCGATCGGCCTTTTAGGCCAGATGCAACGGTAATGGCGAGCTCAAGAAGATAGATCAATGAGGAGTAAGGCTAGGTCAGAGAAATCGAATATAAGAGATAGCCGAACCAATCGTCCCCAGCGGAGTCGTCAAAAAATGTGTTGACGTCGAAAGTGATCCGAATCAAACAACAATAGGGCCTTGGACGCCCAGGGCCGCTATGGACCGAAGAACGCAACAAGGATGTCACTCTTTCGTGGTGAAGAACGGAGAGGTTTACAAGCAAACCACCAAAGGATAACCAACATGCTTACATGACGAAGAACCGGCTAGTTTTCAGTCAAACTAGCAAAGAAACCGTCGAAGCTCTCGCCCGGGAGAGACCCCGTTAGGGCAAGGACGTCGTCGGGTTGCCCTAGGTCAGCCGACAAGCCTAGGGCGCCATCCTTGGTCATCGGATCAAAGGATGAACATCATGAGGGTTGGAGAAGAGGGTAAAAGGGTTGGAGTACAGGTAGTAGATTGATTTGTTTATCGATTGGATAGATGGTAACTCAATCGGCCATGATCCTCTTATATATATATATGGGGGTGGTCTTATCCTAATAGAAAACCTCTCCAAGCCTTATTTTCTAAGCTTCCCACGAGTTTGGAACAGTTCGGATCGGAATCCAAAAGGTCAGATCCGATCAGGATTTTCTGTTAGGTATGTCGGAAGTCCCGACTTGGGTCAGAACTCCCGACATTCGGAACTTCCAACTTTTGTCGAAACTCCTTACATAGGGATAACCCCAGACACCCGGGAAGATTTCTTCAGGCTTCCCGAAAGTCCCGACACCCGTCGGAACTTCCGACAGTCGGAAGTCCCGACTTGGGTCGGAACTCCTGACAACGAGGCTTCTTTCCGAGGGCATAACTTCTTCATCCAGACTTCGAATTAGACGTTCCATATATGTTTTTTGACCGTCTCGATGAGAGGAACACAATGGTGAAGTCCATTTTATATTTTAACAACTTCACAAAATGGACATTTTTTGTTGTCAACAGGAGGATGGAGTTATATTACAAGATGCCTTGAGGCTGGAGCAGAACATCATAAGCGATTACATGAAAGTTGAACAATTAGATGCTTAGCTAAGCGCTGGTCCTAGTTTCCTGGTGCTAAGCTAGCCAACCCGTTGGCTCCTGCCTCAATCCAGCGCTGAGCCTCTGCATGTATGATCTAGATGAGGTCGAATGCCGTGCTTGCAGCTTCTCTGAAACACCGGGCATTCCTTTCTTTCCAGACGTACTAGGAGACCCACGCGAAGAGGGAGTCCATCCCGGCCTTCTGCTTGCCGTTCCTTGTTAAGCGTAGCTGCCTCCACCAAGTGATGGTTGATTGCTTCTACTGCGGAAGGTTCTGTCCGAGCGCTTGGCAGACATAGAACCAGACCTCCCGGGTATCAGGATGACACTTAACTTTTAACTATAGTTTCAATATCTGCCTTTTCGTTGCATCATGACAGTCTGAAGTATTTGTTTTCTATTTAAAAATAGCATAAAACTATGATCATTATCGTTTTCATGAGCATTAGTGGTTGGACTGCCGGATGTTCACATGTTTCATGTTTTTAATTCGAGACTGTTAGGCAGGAGTCCACTGTCTACCAAAGGAGGCATAGCCAAATACCAAATAGCGATATCAACGAACATCCTAAAAATTCACCAAACAAGGACAAATAACCAACTCAATATATATTTCCATGATGAAAGAAACCAAAATTAAAATCGATGCCCAAGCAAAGAAAATGTTAGCAGTTTTCAACTGTAATGCACTGCACGCTGTAGAAAGATTGAACTTAGTAATGGAGGATCAGTTTATAGACCTTAACAGAACAGCCAATCCAGTATGTTTTCATTTAGTTCGGATCATTAGCCAAAACCAAAAATGAAATAATAAGAAATCCTATAAGGCTATAAGGATACATTCATTTCCCTATTTTCGTAATAACTACAACAAAGAGGAATAAGAGACTTCACTGAGGAGGAATACAAATGTGTAAGAGTAACTAATTGACATAAAAGAGGGAGGCTATGCAAGAGTAAGAGCTGTGTTCACCAAAAAAAGCAAATCAAATTCCGACTTACGGCAGTAAGGCCTTCGAATAAATATACTAAAATAGTGGTACTGAATTCATGCCGCAAAACTAGGTGTTCTTTTACAAGGATAAAGTAAATGCATCCAGATATGAGATATCTATCGCTAATTTCATTTCAACACACAAAGGAAAAACTAATTTTATTTCAGCACACAAAGGTAGCATCTGTTGCAAGCATTGGTGTGCACCAAGGAACTGCATAATAGTTCGGCAAGAGGCTGTTGAAATTATAGGCAGAGAAGACCTGGACCGACTATCTTTAGCCTTTGCTTCTCAGTATCCCTAGCATGCTGCTGCGAATGCACCTCATCTTCATGAGGCATTTTCCCAGCACAAGCAGTAGCATAAGCATCTACAAGCCCTACAATACTCTTGTTGTAAGGATCAATAAACTTCTAGACAAATCTTTTCTCGGTTAAACAAACTGTATTATAAAAGTCAATGTTTTCCTTCACAAGCCCCTTCGCCTTCAGAATCTTGATGAAATAATGCCTGGGCATCAGCCGCCTCTGCATGCTATAGCCAAGTATTGCTGGCCCATGCAAGATGTACTGAAGCTTCAACCCAACATCCACCTTCAGGAACTACACTGTGCGACTCAGCTTGCCTTCTGATATCCTCAGAATTTGGGGCGACTTGCACACCATAATGGCCAGCTCCGCCTCGGAGCATCCAAGAGTCGCCTTCATGACATCCATTTTTGCACCAATGGAGTTGGGACCAACACAACGGACATCACACATGGTGCTCTTGAACATCCTTGTATTGCGCGGCACACCAAGCTTCTTAGCACATGCCACCATTTCCCTAACATCCTCGGGCTTCATGCATATCAGCATTGAGAACTCTAGAACATTAGAGGCAGTTAGACGCACTGCTGTTGGAATGCTATGTTAGGCTTGACCACATCCTCAAGGTTCCAACCGAGGAGGATCGGATTGATCTTGATGGCGGAGTGCAGCAAATCGAAGCAACCCAAGAAGGAGAGATAGAACTGGAGGCGGGGAATCATTTTGGGAGCCACGAAGATGTTGGGGACGATGGCAATGAGGCGGGAGATTTGGGGAGGGGATAGCCCAATGCTGATGAGCTGAGCGAAGCGAGGGGTTAGGGTTTTGTCCACCTTGTAGCAGATGAGCCTCGGGTACCTGACGATTCTGGCGGCGATGTCGTCTTTGGCGAGGCTGACGCCTGTGAGAAAGGCGAGGGCGGAGTCGGGTTTAACCGGAGACTTCAGGTGGGTGAGCCCCTTGGAGGCCCTGCCCGATTGCGCTGGGGTGAGCCCGCAGGTGGTGACCAGGTATTCCTCAACGACGAAACGGGAGGGAGAAGTGGCGGTGGTGGCGGTAGAGAGGAGGCAGCGGTGGCGAGGGAACGCCGCGCGGATGGAGGACAGGAGATGATGTCGAAGGTGCAGCATCGCGACGGATCGCCGCCTCGCCAGGGAAGAGACGCGCGGACGGCGGGAGAGAGGTTTTGTCGGCCGGGCAAGTTGGTTTAGAGGGAGGTCATGGTGACAGGTTAACCCCCGCGGTGGCTGTGGTTTGTGGGCGGGATGCCCAAATTGGCGGTGGACGGCCAACAGGTAGGCTGGTGTCAGGGGTGAAGATGCCGGCCGCTAGCGGGGCTGCTGCTGCTGCGGCGGCGGCGGCGGGGGAGGGAGAGCCGGAGAGGAAAAAAAGGCTTCGGCTTTTTGACTTCGCCTTTTGTCCCAGGCTACCGCTGGTGGGGCCGTGTGCATTCGAGCGAACGCAAACTCTCGGTCCACCTGCGCTTCGGTTTTGTCCCCGGCGAAGCCCATCCCCATCATCGGCTGCCTCCAACCTCCATGATGAACCTCCCTTCCCGGCTCCGCCATCTCCGCCGCCTTCTCGCGGCCCCGCCCTTGCCGACCCTCGCCGCCACACACTCCCCCAATCCGCCCTCCTTCCGACCGCTGCACACCACCCGAATCCTGCCGCCGCGGTTCCATCTACCCAATCTCCCAGTGCGGCGGCTCTTCTCCGAGCACGCCATCCTCCCCACTCACCTCCTGGACGAGCGCTTCGCCACGCTCTCTGATAGGATCTATGATGCCGTGATTAAGACGGGGCGGAATCCAACGAGGGCACGGAGGCCGCGCTCGACGCGTTGGGCGCCGAGCTGACTACCCCGCTCGTCGCCGACGTGCTGCACCGCCTCCGCTATGAGGAGAAGCTGGCGTTCCGGTTCTTCGCCTGGGCGTCCCACCAGGGAGGGTACAGCCACGAACCGGCGACTTACAACGACATCATCGACATTCTCTCCGGCACGCGGTACAAGAGCCGCCAGTTCGGTGTCCTCTGCAACGTGCTGGATCACTTGAAGCGCCATGGCACGAGGTCGGTGCCGGTTGAGGACCTGCTGGAGATCCTGCGCACCTACACGGAGAAGCATCTCACGCACATGAGGAAGCTGGCCAAGAAGCGGCGGGTTCGGATGCGTACGCCACCGGAGACTGACGCGCTCAACGTTCTGCTGGACGCGTTCTGCAAGTGTGGGATGGTCAAGGAAGCAGAGGCGGTGTTCGGCCGCGTGAAGAGGAGGTTGCTGGGTAATGCAGAGACATACAGTATCCTGTTCTTTGGGTGGTGCCGGGCGAGGGACCCCAAGAAGGCCATGAAGGTGCTCGAGGAAATGATTCAGATGAAGCACACCCCGGAGAGTTTCACCTACATTGCAGCCATCGAATCTTTTTGCAGTGCTGGATTGGTGTCAGAGGCAAGGGAGCTGTTTGAGTTCATGAGGACTGAGGGGTCGACGATATCATCACCCACAGCCAAGACGTATTCGATTATGATTGTTGCGTTAGCAAAGGCTGACCGGATGGAGGAGTGTTTTGAACTGCTTTCAGATATGAGAAGTTGTGGCTGTATGCCTGATGTGACGACTTATAAAGATTTGATTGAAGGAATGTGCTTGGTGGGTAAACTGGATGCTGCTTATCGTGTGTTGGAGGAGATGGGGAGGGCTGGATTTCCTCCTGACATTGTGACGTACAATTGCTTTCTTAATGTGCTTTGTAGTCTTCGAAAGGCTGATGATGCACTTGAACTCTGTGAGAAGATGATAGAGGCGCATTGTGAGCCCAGTGTTCATACCTATAATATGCTGATGGTGATGTTCTTCGAGATGGGAGAGGCACATAGAGCATTAGATATATGGCTTGAGATGGACACAAGAGGATGTCAGCGTGCTATTGATACCTACGAGATAATGATCGATGGTCTCTTTGATTGTGGAAGAACAGAACATGCAACTGCTCTTCTAGATGAGGTTATAAACCGTGACATGAAACTTTCATACAAGAAGTTTGATGCTATAATGCTGAGGTTATCAGCTGTGGGCGACCTTGGCGCGATACATCGGTTGTCAGAGCATATGAGGAGATTTTACAATGTTGCGATGTCGAGACGATTTGCAATCACTCAGAAGAAGAAGAGCATAGGCCTGAGAAGGAAATGAGTGCCATGGCAATTCCTGCTGCTGTTTCTTGTTACTGTGGATAATCAGGAGCTTATTCAAAGGTAATTGATGCTGTGTTTTCTCTGATTTTACTGCCAGCTATTCGTGGTAAATATATTTAAAATGTGCTTTGGATTGTGGTCTAGACATGGTATTTAATTTGTTCGTGCAATCTGCAGTGCATCTGAAGTGGCAAAACAAATAGCATATTTCAATCAAGTTCTTCTCTTATGGTATATCTTTTCCTAAACTTGCTGCCATGTTCCTAAACTTGTTTGTTACCTTGACCTCTTCTCATCCCAAAACTAGTGCAATGCCTGCTAAGAATGCAGTGAAATCTATGTATGTACAGAAATACCAATATGAAGTAGGATGCTTTTCTTTTACTATTTGGGACACTAATCTGGGTATGCCATTATTTATATCCTTAATCAGTAGTCCAATATGTGTTTTGCTTACGCTCTCTGATATAAAAATATAAGTGCTTTAGGACATTGAAAGAATTTACAAGGTGAAACTTTGGCCATCATTTTCCTAAAAAAATATTTTATTTTGAAAGGCAAAAAAAAGAGCGTACCCGGCGCAGAGAGCTCCCGCTCTGTGCGGGGTCTGGGGAAGGGTGTTAGTGGCAAGCCTTACCCTCGCATGTGCAATGCGAGGAGACCGCGACTCGAAACCGGGACATTCCGGTCACAGGCGGTAAGACTCTACCGCTTGAAAGGCAAAATATATTATTATGAAATTGTTTTTTCATGAGGTGTCTAGCTTCAAAACTATTGTTTTTTTAGCTATTCATGGTCAAACCTAAAAATGTTTGACTTATGACAAACCTAAAACTACTTATTTTTATGACCGGAGAGAGTACTGAATAGGAAAACTTTTATCAGTGTGTTATAAGGATATTTTACAGTTGATTTTACTCAACTGAGTTGAAATGGCTTAGTAGTTGGTTTCTTCAGGACACGGTGTTTTAAAGACGTGTCTGTTTGAATAATTGCTAGTAGCTAGGTGACTCAGTGAGTTCCTGTCACTGATTTTAAGGCCTAATCTATGCTGAAAGATAAGTAAGCAGCCGAGCTTTTCTACTCTCTTTCTAGAGCTAACATCACCAACCGAACTATCATGGAGCAATGGACACAAATGGTTTGGAATGCCTTGTGTAGCCAAGCTATTCAAGATCCCGATGGCCAATTTCTTCTTGGATTGTATGAGCTTTACTTTGTTATCCCCATCTGGGATGTAAGCAGGAGGGAAGTGGAACCTTCCTTGAATTCCAGTTATGATGATTTAGGGCAAGGAGTTAAAACTGGATAGTTGTTGAGCCAATAGGTTATTTAGCAATTTTTGCAATAAAATAAGGTCTGAAGGTGCTAGGTAGCATTTATGCTGGTTGAGACTGCAATTTCATGCATTGGTGATACCTGAGCTTTTATCAGGTGGATCCTTTGCTTTTCAGTTTGCTTGTGCTGAGCAGGAGTAATGTTTATTCTAAACATGATTTCATTGTGCAGGGTGGTTGATGTATGCCAGCACGGACTGTATTGTTGGTACAAATTGCGGTGGAAGAAGCACTGTGTTTTTTTAACGTAAAAAGAAGAAGCATTGCATGACCTTATTCATTTGTTGAATTGAACCGGTGCTGTGAATATCAGTGCGTTTGTGTTGTAGAAACATGTACAAGGTAACCCCTCAACCCCACCCATTAACTGTTGCGACGTGCACAATACACCAATCCACTGGCGCCAGAAGTATTAACTGCAGTCTTATTTTGTTTGAATCCTATGAAGAGAACCTCTTTTATGGCCTACTTGTTCATGTAGGACCCCTTTCTTCCTTACGCTCAGATGAAACGTGTAACTGTATAAGCCTAGAACTGAATTTCTTGCCATTAAACATGTGACCCACACCACTTTCCTCAACTCCTGTCTATATGTTTCCCAATATCAAATTTTGGGCTATTTCAAAACTTGACTGCTTAAGGAAACATTTTACTGATAGCTTGTTGCAAGGTTATTATTATTGGTCACACATCCAGTTCATTTTCACTAAAATGGGACGGGGTGCACTTTATTTTGCTTCAAAGAGCATCTTTGTTCTATTAGTAGTGTGCTTACATGTAGAGGGTGACAATGACTAAAATTTGGTCGTTTTGGCTGGTGGCTAGAGTTGAAGACCTAACTGTAGTACATTTAGTGTGTGCACTGCAGCTGCATCAAAATTGTGGCTACACTGTCGAACTAAAGATTCCAAACTAGTAAATAGGTTCATGGCTACAGCAATCAATGACTTATCAAGGGTTACTACCGAGTACTGCCGAACCAAGAAATTTAGCACACCACTAATATCTGTGTAACACAGCCAAGATTCGACCGCTTGTGCGAGTAGGAAGATGGATAGTCCTTTTATACTCTCCAGCTTGCCTCATGATGTGTACTAGGTAACTAGGTATCTAGTAGTATTTGGTAACTTGATTTTTAATTCTTTAGTGATCCTTGATGCACATAGTTTGGTACTGAAACTGCACATTATGCTTCATCGAGCTCAACTAATGTTCAGGCTGGTGATACTTCCATACTTGCAGGTGACGGCTACTGGTTATCAACAGACATATCGGGGCATCGGGCGAAAGCCGCCAAAGGCATATGAGGGCCTGTTTAGATGTCGAAATTTTTTTGCAAAAATGCACTGTAGCACTTTTCGTTGTTATTTGGCAATTAGTGTCCGATCATAGTCTAATTAGGCTTAAAAGATTCGTCTCGTGAATTTCGTCTAAACTGTGTAATTAGTTTTATTTTTTATTTATATTTAATGCTTCATGTATGCGTCTAAAGATTCGATGTGACGGGGAATCTGAAAAATTTGGCAAAATTTTATGTAACTAAACTGGACCTGAGTATATGACCCGCATTGGCTTTGACTCTCTCCTGTCCCTGGTCCTTGTTCAGGTGCTGTAACCTAGTACTAGCTATCAAGGGCTCAAACTCAAAGGCTGTGAGCCTGTGAGCAGACCTAGGACGGCCATAGCTGTGTACCATTTGCACCGGCTGAGAACCTGGAACGCACCATGCCAAGAACCCCTGGAATTGAGAGCTTCGGATCATCGGATGCCATCAAGCGAGCCGAGGCCATGTTTAGATTGCAAATTTTTGCAATCTGAGCCGAGGATTAGCCTCTGAAGTTATTTTTTATCTATATTTAATGCTCCATGCATACGTTTAAAAATTAATATGATAGAAAGAGGTGAAAAAATTTAAAACTTTGATTTCATCTAAACAAGGCCGAGGTGAAATTCTCTGAAGTCGGGACCTCATGGCAGGGACCGGCGGAGCGCTTCGGGGTTCGCGGGTTTTCATCAGTCCCGAGGTAAAATATGGCTGGCTCTGACGGAAAAGACCCGGTTCCTGTCCGGCCGTCCCATGCCATGCATGATTCTCCGGGTCAAGCAGCTGTCTGAAATCCGCATATTTTTTACTGCTCGTATATTTTCTTTTGGCAACCTCTGTCTTTGCCATAAGAATCTGTATGCTGAGCGATGCGACATGGAATTTCACAGGAACGGGATAAAATGGTATAGGAATTTTATAGAAGGAGAAATTCGTTTTTACAGGAAAAGTGTAGGAAATAGAAAAAAAAAACTCTTGCATTCCAAAGTGGTTCTATGGCATTCCGTTTTTTGTAGGACATTTCGTTTCATGGACTCCCTCAGCTAGAAATGTAAAAGCTTTTCGTTAGAACAAACTTTTGTCGTTTTGACCGGTAAAGATCTTACTGGTATGTAGTAGCTTTCATGACATGAAATTGATGTTATTAGATTCATATTTTGAAGCTGTTAATGATTTATGTCTTGTATAAAACATAATATGCCATTAGAATAACTGTTAGTCAAAGGAATAAAATACAGTATATTTTCTGCTGTCACCACAAACAAAAGAAAAGACATATCGAGCGCTCTAGAGAAGGAAACATAATCAAGAAACACTTCTGTGTGGTTCACTTTTAGATGAAACAAGCAAGTAAAAAAAGACCCCAAACTAGGTGACTAGTGATTTTTATTAAGAAGAAAATATTCACCTATAAATTTAAGTAGAAGGGACTTAGAATCTTAGTGGTTGGTGCAAGCTAGACTCACTTCATGAATCAGGCAACTCAAACGAATTAAGAGAAAAAATGGCCACTGCTAGTGCTAACTAATCTTATGTCTCCGGCTTTGAGTGAGCAGCGGACGGCGGCGCAGAGTGCACACGCACCGGCTCAGCTCAAAAAAGCGTTGGCGTGACCTGTGTACGTGTATCTGACACGTTTGGTGCGACTGCGAGTCTGCGAGCCCCGGCCGGAGCCTCCGCCCGGCCAACCGTCTCGTGCCTCGTGGTCGTGGCCAGCACGGACGCACCGGTGCCGAGTAAAGCGAGCTAGAGCTCGCGGTGTGGCTGAACAGTGGCGTCCCGGGGCCCGGGTGCTCCGCATGATTGAGCAATCAACAGTGGCGCGTTGCATGACAGGAGAAACCATGCTCTGCAATAGTGCCTCACCTGTCACTGTAGCTTCAGCAGTTGGCCGTACGAGTAAAAAGTCTCGAGACCCGGTTTTGAATGCTTCCTCCTCGGTCCAAAAGGACGTAGTTTTGGGTTTGGGACCTGTTAACTTTAAACAATCAATTAACTTTATAAAAATAATGTCAATATTTATGGCCCTGCTCGCTTGATTATCAGCCTTGATTATCAGTCATGATATATTGTCTTTCTCTAATAATAAAATAACATCAGCCGATATATCAGTCGTAAAAACGATCAAACGAACATGGGTATGTCTTTAGAGTTTAGATAGATTTTGCTATAAAAATATATTTTATAATTAGTCACATTCGTTCTAGCTTTTTTTAGTACTGCCGTACCTAGATATATGTTTTTAGATGTATAATTAATAAAATAAAAGTTATGTATCTAGAAACGTAGAACGACACATAATTTAAATTGAAGGAGTAATATTTATCAATATCATAA